TTTTGTAGCACTTGTCAGTACCTCATTCTTTTATATGGCTGAATGTTACTGCATTTTATTGATATAGACCACATTTTAATGATCTAGTCTTCTTCAGCTGATGGACATTTGAGTTGCTATTATAAGTAATGTTGCTATGAACATTATTATACAAGTTTTTGTGGACATGTTTTCATGTCTGGAAGTGGAATTGTTAGATTATAGAGAAACTGTATGTTTAATGTTTGCAGGAACTCCCAGACTATTTTCCAAAGCAGCTGTATCATTTTATATTCCCACCGTCATTTTATGAGGGTCTCAATTTCTCCACATTTTTCTCAGGATTTGTTAATTTCTGACTTTTTGATTCCTGCCTTCCTAGTGAGTGTGAAGTGGTTTCTCATTGTGGTTTTGGTTTACATTTCTTGAATGACTAGTAATATCTAACATCTTTTCATGTGATTATTGGCTATTTGTATATCTTTTTTTAGGCAAATGTCTCTGCAAATTCTTTTACCCATTTTAAAGGAGACTTAATCTTTTTGCTGTTTAATTTGTAAGAGTTGTTTATATAGTCTGGATTCAAGATCTTTATCAGGTATTTGATTTACAAATGTTTTCTCCCATTGTGTGGGTTGTTTTTACCTATTTTTTTATTTTGTTCGAGCCCTTGTTTACAAATATTGTTTTAAAAATATTTTATTGATTTTTAGAGAGAGGAAGGGAGAAAGGGAGAGATAGGGAGAACATCTATATGAGAAAGAAACATCAATCAGTCGCCTGCTTCCCAGGGATTAAACCCGAAACCTGGTTATGTGCCCTGACCTGAAATTGAACCCACCACATTTGGCTGTACAGAACGATGCTCCAACCAACTGAGCCACACCATCCAGGCCTTAATTATTTTTTAAATTGTGGCATACTTGACATAGAACCTTATTAGTTTCAGGTATATAATATAATGATTTGATATTTTACATATTGAAAAAAGATCACCACAATAAATCTAGCTAACATCATCACCACAAATAGTTAATTTTTTTTTTCTTGTGACAAGTAATTTTTTGTTTTGTTTTGTTTTGTTATCCTCACCCTAGGACATTTTTCCATTTTTGTTCAGATAGAGTGGGAGGGAGAGAGAGGAAGAGAGAGAGAGAGAGAGACATCGAAGTGACAGGGACACATCAAGTGGCTGCCACCCGCACGACCAACCAGGGCCGGGGACAAACTGCAAGCGAGGTACATGCCCTTAGCAGGAACCAAACCCAGGTCTCTCTGGACCACAGTCCGACGCTCTAATCGCTGAGCCAAACCTGTGACGAGTAATTTTAAGATCTAATTTACTATCTTAGCAACTTTCAAGTATGAGATATGGTATTGCTAACTTTAGTGACCATGCTGTACGTTACATCCCCATGGCATTTATTTTATAACTGGGACTTTGTACCTTTTGACTCCCTTTACACAACATCCCTCTAACCAATAATCTCTTCTCTTATCTGTTAACTTGTTTTTGTTTGTTTAGATTCCATGTATAAGTGAGATCATTTTATATAGTATTTTTCTTTGTCTGACTTATTTCACTTAGTATAATATTCTCTAGGTCCACCCATGTTTTCAAACCAATGTGTTTGAGTTTTATAGTTTTAGCTCTTACATTTAGGTCTTTAATCCATTTTGAGTTGATTTTTCTGTATGTTGTGAGTTAGGGTCCACTTCATTTTCTTGCATGTGCATATATTCAGGTGTTCCCAGAACCATTTGTTGAAAAGAATATTCTTTCCCCACTAAAATGTCTTTGTATATGGCTTAAAATGAATCGACCATAGATGCAAGGATTTATTTCTGGACTCTCAGTTTCATTCCTCTGGTTTATCTATAAGTCTATTACTATACCTGTATCACTCTGTCTTGATAACTGCTGCTGTGTACTACATTTTATTTTGGTTATTTTTGGACTCTTGTATTTCCATATTAATTTTAGGAGTATCTTGTCATTTTATGCATAAAATGCTAGGTAGGATTCTGCTAGCTACTTCATTAAATCTATAGCTCAATTTAGGGAATGTCTGAACCTCATTTATATAGTTGTACAAATTGAGGTTTCCCTATATATAGGGAACCCTAACCCTAACCCTAACCCTAACCCTAACCCTAACCCTAACCCTAACCCTAACGGTGTTTGGAAATTATTAACTGTAATGAATTGTGGCCCATCAATGCTCATATTGAATGATTATTCATATAAAGTTTTTCATAAGTTTATAAGGATTACAATATATTAATTTATTTATATTATATAATTATTCTAGAGACCCTCCTAAAAGTTTAAGAGGCAAAACAGTAAATATCCACAGGAGTTCTCCCGAGGATAAACAAAAGCACAAATAAAGACAACACAAGGTATAATCACTAACTCAATTGCCTTAGTTTTTGTGATTCAACATTTGGCATGCAAGTCTGTGTGGTTCTATGGTGGAATAACATAAGGAAAATGAGAGACATGTGTTTTGATGATACCACATTGATCAGGAATCTGAAAAGACCTTTACAGGTTGGACTAGACCATTTGTCAATCAAGTGTGCAATCCCCTTCCCTGTGGCAGGAGATATCTTTTAAGAAAAGAGATTCTGGTGCTCAACAGATAAGCTTGGGCCAACTCTGCTGTGGATTTGCTGATGTTTTAAGCATGAAAAACATTTTTTATCACTATTTTTACATATAGTAAATCACCACATATGCAGTTCTCTTTATGGAATGAGTTAGTCCCTCTCAAAATTTACTTACATATATTGGGTTTCTGAGAAATGAATTCATTGGGCTGTAATTGTCAGGCAAGTTCCTGAGACAATGGCAGCTCTCCTGCTTCTGTATAAGAAAAACCTGCTGCCTCCACTGGGTGGTTTTTAATATGAAGGGGGGAGGAAGGAAAAGCTTTTTATGGCTTGCTCTTAATTAAACACCTACAGGAAGGCAAAGAGGAGGCCCAGCAACCTGGGACACTAAGCTCTTGGATGGAGCTCACTTCCCTGTAATTTTCCATTTGCTGCACCTCATTTTTATCATGTAGTTTTTGGCCCTTTCTCTTTCTCATTGCTCTCCTTGGTTTCTCTCTTCTTTGTTTCTTTCTCACCTACTGCCTTATGTACTTGTATTTTCCATGTGTTTTAAATTTTTTTTTGCTTTTGGTAAGGTTTTTTTTTTTTTTTTTCTCTCGCTATTTTCTTATTTATATATGATCTTTGTAAAACATCTAAACAGTACACATGCCCATAAACTAATAAGAGAAAGTCACCTCTGTGCTTTTTTAAAATTGATTTTAGAGAGAGAGGAAGGGAGAGATAGATAGAAACATCGATGAGAGAGAACATTGATTGGCCACTTCCTCCATACCCCGCATTGGAGATTGGATCCACAACCTGGGCATGTGCCCTGACTGGGAATCTAACCAGTGACCTCTTGGTGCATGGGTTGACACTTAACCAGTGGGCCACACTGGCTGGGCATCTCTGTGCTTAACTGTGTCCTACTGTCTGCTGGAAAGCACTGGTAACCGTTTGGGTTTGTGGCCATAGGAACTTTCTGTAGATCTCGATATTGCAATTCAATTCCACAAACATTGACCGATCACTTCCTATGTGCTGGACACTGTTGGGATATTTCAGTGAGCAAAGCAGACAAAAATGATCATTTCCTATGTGCTGGACACTGTTGGGATATTTCAGTGAGCAAAGCAGACAAAAATCCTTGCCTTCAGGGAGCTTATTTCTAACTGGTGAGAACAACAATAAAGAATCCACATACAGCCCGGGCTGGTTGGCTCAGTGGTTGGAGCATTGGCCTGCAGACCAGAGAGTCCTGGGTTCGGTTCCCGCTAGGGGCACGTACCAAAAAAAAAAAAAAAAAAAAAGACTCTACATATATCTAGGTATTATATCAAACTGGGATTATACTCCATATGTTGATCTATAGCTTACATTTGAATGCATTTATTTAAAAATGATTTTATTATAAAATTTTGATACAAGAGTACAGGAAACAAATTATATAATATAAAATAATTTTATTATATTATTTAAAACGTTCCTTTCATAAAGCACAAAAAGGCTATTGTATCTTTTTAGCACAAAGAAAGTGTTGTGTTGTCTTAGTGGGCTTATAGTTTAAATAAAACCGATGAAGAAGCTGGTGTATTTGAGAATGGTACATTCGTTTGGCTGGTGTGGCTCAGTGGTTGAGCATCGACCCATGCACCAAGAGTTCGCTGGTTCGATTCCTGGTCAGGACACATGCCCAGGTTGTGGGCTCGATCCCCAGTGGGGGGGCATGCAGGAGGTGGCCAATCGATGTTCTCTCTCATCAATGTTTCTATCTGTCTCTCCCTCTCAGTTCTTCTCTCTCTAAAATCAATAAAAGAAAAAATAAATAAAGAATTATATGTTTAAAAAAAATAATGGTATATTTTTTAAAATATGTTTTTATTGATTTTTAGAGAGAGAGAGAGATAGAGAGAGAGGAAGAGAGAGAAACATGGATTGGCTGCTTCTTGCATGGCCCTCACTGGGGATCCAGCCACAAACCTGGGTATGTGCCCTGATCAACCAATAGAGCCACATCTATTTCCAGTAGATGCCGATACATCTTAAAAGCCTGTTTACATAGTTCCGGCATTTTGCAAAGATTTTGTCATTTTTTATGGACTTTCAATTTTAAAAGATACGTGATCAAGTCACTAAAAAGAGATATAGCATCGGAGAAGAGTAAGAAAGGGTCCACACTGCGTGTTTTTCCTTTCTTATCAGTGTGACTCTCCTTGTAATTGCATACTGATTTAACATGTGATTTTAAAGATGGAAGAATGAACTTTAAAAACTAACCCTTTTAATTGCAATACTTAATATTTCCACATTTGTGAACTGTATGCATGCACATAAACACATAAACATCAGTAAGTGTTACAGAAATGAAGCATTCCCCATGTCTTGCAGCATGCACAAATATGTGTCTACTCCATGAAAGGATGAGGGAGCTCCTTTCTGATCACTCCTGTCCTTGGAAGCAGGTAAGAGTCCCTAGTTCCTTCGTATAACATTGAGTCATGACCTGGATCTTGGGCTGAAATTTAGTTCCAGTAGATATTCAGCATAGGCTAGGCCATAAAACTGTTATTATTATTTTTTTTTTACCTTTTCATTGTTTTATAAATCATCTGTTTTTATCTGTTTAGTGATAGATGTCCTTTCTCTGTGTGCTCACTGCATCCTGGCTCAACACTATTGTAACACTTAGCCCTCTGGACTGTAATTGCCTCCTGTTCCTAAATGAAGAACTCCATGAGATCCCAGCTAGTGTCCTTATCACAGCAAGGCCCTGGCATAAGATGGGAGTCTAATAGAGATTTATTGAAAGAAAAGAATGCATGAATGAGTAGAGTGGCTAATACATGACAAAGACACAAAGTTGTGTTGAACCATGAGTTCATGTTTTGTATTCCTGTTCTCTCTGTCCATTTTCTCCTTCTTTACTTTCATTCCCTCTCTTCCCTTAGAATTACATTTCGGACTGCCTGGGGGTAAAATCATCCAGAGTTCCTTCCTTCAAAGAACAATTTAATGGTTGAGCAACTGAGGACAGTGAGATTCGTGAATACACTTCCCTGAGTTGACACCTATTCATTGTTATGTGTTGTGTCGAAGAGTGGTAAAATGATGCTGAATTCCTAGTAGGTACTCAGGCAATACTTCCAAATGTTTGATTTAACATTATACAAGTCTTTAATGGCACTTTAGAGTTCCTGTGATTTTTGTTGCCACATCTAACTAATTTTTCCTCCATTTTAGACTGTGTAAAGTCACTGTATTTACTCTTCAGCTCTATCAGAGTTAAACTCTACCTGATATATATTCTTTGAGTTATTGTTAAAGTTTTTTAATCCTCATTTGAGGATATGTTTGTTGATTTGAGGGGGGGGAAGAGAGAGAGAGAGAGAGAGAGAAAGAGAGAGACCGATGTAAGAAACATTGATTGGTTGCCTACCATAGGCAGCCTAACTGGAGATCAAACCCACAACCCAAGTATGTGCCTTGACTGGGTATCGAACTCGAAACATTTTTGGTGTATGAGTTGATGCTCCAACCAAGTGATCCACCCAGCTGTGGCCACTAAAACAATTTTAATGGTGCTCTTTCAAAATGGATGCTTTTTTAAAAAAAGAAATCTATGATAAGAGCCAAGGCCAAAATCAAAACATATCTATAAAGATTATGTTGTTGAACATATAGGTCATAGTTAATGTTGATTTTTAAAGAATTGATGCTTAACTTGTAGGTATAAAAGATTATTTTACTGTCCTTAAAATTTGTATTTCATATATTTCAAATGCAGTGGAGATCTCTTCTGATATGTATTGGCCATTCCTGTTTCTTCTTCTGTGAAATGCCTATTTATGTTATTTCCATTTTTCTACTTGATGATTTGTGTATTTTTTAAAAATTTACTTATAATCTTTTATATATCCTTGATAGTATTTGTTTGTCACTTATATCTGTTGCAAATATCTGTATACAATTTGTGACTTGTCTAATTTTTTATGATATCTTTTGATGAAAGAAAAAATTTAAATTTAATGTTGCCTAAATTATCAGTCTTTTTCTTTACTGTTTGTGCTTCTTGTATCCTGATTAAAAAATTCTATTCTACCCATAGGCTATACAGATATTCTCCTGTATTTTCTTTGATGTGATTCTTAATGCTGTAGGTTTTGAATCTTCACCTGTGCAAGACCATTAAAACCAAACTGTAAGTCACCTGGGAAGTGGCAGATGTTTGGGGGCAACTACTGTTCTTAGTTGTTTTATTTCTCAGGATATTTGCCCTAGTAGTGGTTTTGACCTCTAAGAATTTCCTTGTCTTTCTTGCCAGCTCAGCCATGTATTAGAAAGGCTTTGATTTTATTTTTCCCACCATGTTTTTCCATTTTGTAGCAGGGAGGGATTTTAGGATTTTTAAGCTCCTCCATGTTTTTCAAACTTGAAAGTTCAATTTTTATATTCAAATGTGATATCATTTAAGAGTTTTCCTTGTATATAAGACCTGAGATATGGGTAAGGAACCTTAGTCTTATTCTCCTATTTGAAGATGAACTGAAATATGGGAGTACTATTCTGGACCCCATTTACCTGCTTCTACCTTCACCTACCTCCCTTTTCCTCTTGAAGCAATTGTGACAGGATAAGGCAAGAATGAAAATCTTTGCAGAAACATAGTGCTAACCCAGTCATTGTCTGCCACTGCCTGAATGCTTACTTGTACACTAAACCTGTTAAATTTTAATGTTATTATTTTTTCTATTACAATAGCCAACACTTATTAAGCATTAACAATAAACTAGGCACTGTTCCAAGTCTTTGCATGTATTAACAACTTTAACATTACAGTAACCACATGAAATAGGTATTATCATTTCCCCCATTTTACTAGCAAAGGAAACTGAGACACAGAGAGTTTTAAAAAGCTTTTTCATACTGGCTGGTGTGACTCAGTGGTTGAGCATTGACCCATGAACCAGAGGGTTGCTGGTTTGATTCCCTGGTCAGTGCATGTGCCCAGGTTGTGGGATCAATCCCAGTGAGGGGCTGCAGCCAATAGATATTTCTCTCTCACTGATGTTTTTATCTCTCCCTCTCCCTTCCTCTCTCTGAAATCAATAAAAATATATTTCTTATAAAAGCTTTTCTAATGCCATACAACTTGCAGATGGTAGAACTGGAATTAGAATCTAGGCAATCCCTCTCTGGAGAATGCCCTAAAAATACTATGCTATATTACCTCTATGAGAAATATTTATGTGAAAAAAATTAGAATTTTATGTGTATAAATAACTCAAGATAACACCCAAATATAACAACCATGTTAACTTATTGGTTCTCTGATGTCATTGTGGATTATCTTTATGCACAACCTTCATATTTTTTTCTTTAGCATATATTCTTAAAAGTTGAGCTCCCTTCTATTTATTTTTCATTATTAAATTCCTTTGGAAGGAGAAGTACAGAAAGTACATCCTATGCGCAAATGAACTTTTTTGTTACAAATACCACTTTTCTTTATTGTAACAGCTTTATTTAGGTATAATTCACATACCATACAATCTATCCATTTAAAGTGTAAAATTCAGTGTTTTTATTAGCATATTTGCAGAATTGTGTTACCATCACTGCAATCCATTTTAGGATGTTTTATTATTCCTGAAAGAAACCCTGTGCCTTTTAGCTGTCATCTCCCCAATCCCCCCCATTCTTCTTTCCTTAACCAACCACTAATCTACTTTATATCTCTATATATTTCTATTCTGGATATTTCATTTAAAGGAAATCATATAATTTGTTACTTCTTATGCTTAGCAATATGTTTTCAAGATCCATTCATGTTGTTGTATGTATCAAGTCCTTTGTTATTTTTTATTGCCAAAAGGTATTCCATTGTGTACATATACTACATTTTGTTAAGCCATCCTTCAGTTAATGAGCGTTTGTGTTGTTTCCACCCTTTGGTTTTTATAAATAATGCTATTAACATCCCTGTACATGTGTAGATGTATGTTTTCATTTCTTTTGGGTGCATACCTAGAAGAAGATTTGCTGGGTCATATGGTAACTTTGTTTAACTTTTTGAGGAGTTGCACAGCTGTTTTGCTCAGGGGCAGTACCATCTTACATTCCCATGAACAGTGTATGAGTGTTTTAATTTGTCCACATACTTGCTAACACTTGTTATTATCCATCTTGTTTATTATAGCCATCTCCATAGGTGTGAAATGTGTATCTCATTGTTGTCTTAATGTGCATTTTATAATGACTAAATGATGTTGAGCATCCTTGCATGTGCTTATTGGCCATTTTTATATCTTCTTTGGAGATGTGTCTATTCAAATCCTTTGCCCATTTTAATTGTCATTTGCCTTTTTTATTATTGATTAGTAATGTGTTCCAGATACAAATTCCTTAGTAGATAATTCACAAATATACTTTCCCTTTCTGTGGTTTATCTTTTTACTTTCTTGTTAGTATCCTTTGAAACACAAAAGTTTACATTTTGACAAAGCTAAATTTATCTCTTTTTTTCTACTATTACTTTGCTTTTGATGTCATATATACAAGGATTTTCTTAATGCAAAGTCATAGATTTTGTTTCTTGTATTTTATGTTAAGAACATTATTATTTTACCTCTTATATTTCAATGTTTTATCCATTGTGAGTTAATTTTTGTATATGGTGTGAAGTGGGGGTTCAACTTTATTCCTTTGAATGTGAATAGCCTATTGTCCCATTACCATTTATTGAAAAGGCTATTCTTTCCTTATTGAATTGTCCTGTCCTTTAAAAAAAAATCAATTGACTTTAGATATATGGGCTAATTTTTGGACTCTCAATTCTATTTCCTTGATCTTTATGTCTATCTTTATGCCAGTACTACATTATTTTGTTTATTATTGTAGCTTTGTGTAGTAAGTTTTGAAATTGGGAAGTGTGAGTCCTCCAACTTTGTTCATTTTTTTTCAAGATTGTTTTTGTTAATTTGCCTCCCATGTATTTCCATATGAATTTTAGGATCAAATTGTCAATTTCTGAGGGAAAAAATCCAGCTAAGATTATAATAGGAGTTGCCTAGAATATGTATACCAATAAGGGAATCTTGCCACCATAATAATATTAAGTTGAATCCATAAGTGTTGGATGGCTTTCTATTTACTTAGCTCATCTTTAATTTCTTTCAATAATGTTTTGTAGTTTCAGAGTATAAATTTTGCACTTATACTTTTCACAATAGAAATACAATTGATTGTTTATATTGATCTAATGTACTATACTCTTGCTGAATTTGTACTGACATGTTTTATTGTATGTGTGTTCCTGTATATGAATTCCTTAGTATTTTATATATACAAGATCATGTCATTTGTAAATACAGATAGTTTTACTTTTTTCTTTGGAGAAGTGACTGTGCATTGGGGAGCCTCAAGACTACTCCAGGTTTGATGACTTACTAGGTGGACTCACAGGACAGCATATATTCACACTCATAACTCATATTTATTACAACAAACAGATACAAAGCAAAATCTTAAATAGTACTCAAGCCAAGTTTTATTTGGAGTTTATAACACAAAAGAGGGGTATTCCCTTTCCCTTTCCACATGCTTTGTGTTGTATAGGGGCTTATAAACAACTGGAGCCATGGGGAATCTTCAGTGAATTGCCTGAAGCTACTCCAAAAATTGGTAGTTAATTGATAGTAGAATCCACCAGTTTCTACATCCCAGTTTTTCTGTTATAGGAGTTTCTTGCTTGGAAAGTACCTTTGTACTAAGTGATCAAAGGCATTCCAGAAACCTGCTGTCCTCTGAAGGCCTGCAAAGGTTCTCCACTTTTAGCTTCTAGTCTTGCTTTCTAGCTTTAGCTAGACCTACCCATGCTCTAAACTCAAACCATATCAGGCCATATATAGTCCCTTATTTTGCCTATTCCTGTGTTGGTGCTTTGTATCTTTCACCTGGAAAGTCCTCCTCTATTCCCCTGTCCATATATTTGAATCCTAATAAATGTTCAAGGCCTAGCTCAAATATCACATCATCTATGAAACCTTTCTTTTTCTCACGCTCTCAGTTTTTTTTTTGTTTTGTTTTGTTTTTAATCCCCACTCGAGGATATTTTTCTATTTATTTTCAGATAGAGTAGGAGAGAGAGAGAGGAAGAGAAAGGGAGAGAGAGAGAAACAAGGACTTGAGAAGGGCACATTGACTGGTTGCCTCCCGCATGACCCTGACCAGGGCCAGGGATGAACTGCAACCAAGGTACCTGCCCTTGGCCAGAATGACCTGACTCATTGATCCCTGCTGATGCTCTACTGCTGAGCCAAACCAGTCAGGGCAACTCTCTCAGTTTTGATGTAATAATTTCTGCCCTCCCTACACCTTATATTGTGTATTTCTGATATAGCACTTACTATAGTATATATTATGGTCATTTGTTTATATTATAGCTTATGTTAAGATTTTAAGCTTTTTAAAGTGAGAAACTATTCATCTTCCAATGGGCCACAGCACGTAGCAGAGAGGAGCAAATAGAAACCCAGTGGATGTTTGCTAAATTGAATTACAATGGATTGGAACGAGGTCTGGTAGATTGGTAACAGAGGGAGGGTTTAACAAGAATCTTGATTTTCTTTTGTTAGTACAGAATTATGCAAGTCTTTCATAGTGTACCTTTATTGCAGAACAAAGTATTGCATAGTTTGTTCTGCTGTAGTTTAATGGGAATTCATTTTGTGATGGTTTCACAATTACCCTTTTATTTGTTCCACCTTTTAAAGCATAAAGTATTAAAACAGCACTTAAATTTGTTGCATGTGCTAAATCATTATTGTTTACAGATGGGCTAGTGTATCTGATGTTCATTTTGAAAGGGAAAAATTACAGTCATAGAATCCCATCAGCCTTGCAACAGGATTAAAGCCTCAAAACAAAACCTAATTTCATCTGAGTCCTGCATATCAGCAATAGGGAATCTTCAAAGAGATGATTGCTAAAAGTTAAGAATTTCAGGCTCTAAAAATAATGGTGTTTCTTGCAAAAGATTGTTCATGACCATTCTTGATGTGGTTTGGGACTGAACCTCTTGCTGGAAGAAAATGGAAGGTTATGGAGTCATACCTAGTTATTAAGTTGCATTAGAGATAATTGATTGTATTCTTCTGAGAGCACATTTTAGATTGTCCGTCTGAGGTTAGGGAATCAAAT